ATACACAAAGAGACACGAAGAACAATCACATATACAGCAAATCTGAAAGCCAGGGAGAGCATATTCAGAAGAAACCTAAATTGCTAACACCTTGATCTTGAACTTCTCACCCACAGAACTGTGAAAAAACACATTTCTGTTGTGTAAATTACTCAATCTGTGATATTTTGTTATGGCAGCCCTAGAAACCTAGTAAGTAACACAAGCATATGACTAAGATACATGGAGGCAATGATGAATATAAAAACAGAAATGGTTGCAAGAATAACCTGGAAATTAGCAAAGACATATTCACAAAGCAATTCACCGTAGCACCCAAATGTCCAACAAGGGAGGCTCCAACTGAATATATAAGGCACATCCATCAATTAACTACTACATAGCCATTTAAAGTTCAAAAACATCTCTATATTACTATAGTGTGATCACTAGGATATAACATTAAATGGGGAGAAACATATATGAAATGCTACCATTTATCTAAGAAAATATTGGTGGGGAAAATAGGAGTATATATTTGCTTGTATTTAAAAACCAAAACAATAAAAAATACAATAGTTATCTACAAAGAGAAAGAGGGAACAAAGTAGAGGAAACAGATAAGCAGGACTTACTTAAATATACTTTCTTTAGATTTTTCTTGGGAGTCCTGTAAATGTTTTACATAAATATAAAACAAATATCAATCAAAATGGAAAAACTAATCAGTAAAAACTGAAAGTAAATTGAAACAAATGGATCTAATTAAGTTGGAGGCTTACTCACAAAGAAAGGAATTATTTCAGGTAATCTTGAGTTTTTAATTTTTAGGGGATTTGTTGTTTTTGTTGCTGGTGTTTTTTGACATGGGTGTCTCACTATGGTGCCCGGGCCAGCCTTGAACTCCTGAATGTCTCTGATCCTCTCACCTCAGCCTCCTGAGTCAAGTATTTTTTAAAAAGTTTGAATAATATTCAAACAATATTTTGACTGTACATCTGTCAGAATATATGCTAAAAATAAGAGAATTATAAAAAATTCTGGCACTTGGGGTTTAGTTAGTGGTAGGGCAGGTGTTTAGCATATATGAGGCCCTGAATTCAATCCCCAGCATGAAAAATAAATTCTTTTTAAAAACATATTATTAGCAATAATATTGATATTACTATATTCTGAAACTGTTATACACTTTTAGGATATAAGAAATGATTCACTGTATTAATATTTTTAAATCACCAAGACTGTTAGTGCCAGAGAAAAGAAATACAAATATAAAGTCAAGGAAGCTAAATGCAAGCCTAAATAAATATTGGAAATGTTAAGTATATATTAGTTGGCTTTCTCGTCACTGGAACAAAACACCCAACACTCACAACTTAAAGGAGAAGTTTATTTTGTTCAGTTTCAGTGGGTTCAGTCCATGGTTGGCTGGCTCCAAGGCATAAAAACATGATGGAAGGGCACTGTAGAAGAAAGCCATTCAATCCATGGCAGCCAGAAAACAGAGAGAAAGAGAATCCAAGGGCAAGAATGCACCCTGCCAGGCCAGACCCCCACCTCCTAACAGCACATTCAGTTATAAACTTATCAACAGATTAATCTACTAATGAGTATATCACCTCCACAAGGCCCCACCTCTGAACACCTGAGACTTTTAGAGGATATTTTAGATCTAAGCTACAACAAAGGATAAAGTTCTACATTTTCTTTTTTCAAAAATATGTATTTTATAGCTTTGTCCACTACACAGATGTAGAAACAATGTAAGATGCAATAACAATGGTCACTTGTAATATCCAGATTGTGGTTTCTGGATAACAATCCCCTCTAAAAGGAAAACAGGACTATTTAGAGGAATGGTTAATTCCAGGTCTAGGACAGGAAATATACAAGATGAGTCTGGATATCTTGTTATATAAGGACTTAAAAAAAAAACCTGTTAGACTACTGGAGTCATGTCAAAAGGAGGAGTCTCCTACTGGTATGTCAAGAATAGAATACTGTGCATCAATAAACATAACAGTAGATTGAAATTCATTAAATATATTAAAAATCCATGAGTTCATGACACTTTTGATGGAGGATACCCTGGGGATTAAACCCAGTACTTTGTGCATGTCACAGCAATACCTTTTTACAAACTTACTTAGGCCTGTGACTGTAGCTTAGTGGTAGAGTGTTTATTTAGCATGTATGAGGTCCTAGGTTCAATCCCCAGCATGAATTTTTTAAAAACAAAACAAAAAAACCCCTATGTGGTCATTAATTAAAGACATCAGAGAACCAATTCACTATTCTGAAAATAACTAACTAAAGGGCAAGAATTAAGCATTTATTCTGGCTTTCTTTGTTCAAACCATACCTCAGAGTAACCAGGTAATCAATGAAGGAAAGTTTCTCGCTATTCCAGTTAATAAACCAAGAAGGAATGCAGAATTAGAATATCTAAATCCCTACAAAAATAATGGATCTGGAACAATATTTGTCATGAAGCACCACCCCAGCAAAAAAAAGAAGTAAGTGGGTATTAGTGCCTCCTCATGCAAATACACCATACTACCTACAAATTATTCCAACAATACTCAAACCTGAATCAAAACGAGCTTCTTGATCTAACTACCATTTTACAGAAAACAAGGGAGAGAGGGGACAGAAGGCTACGTTTTAAATGTTGCCATGTTGAGGACCCAATTATCAGAATCCCGAATTTAGAAAACTCTATAGGACAGAAACCTGGTTTTTTCAGCAAATAAATATGTTCAATAGAATTTTTTTTCAAAAAGAAGGAAACATATGGCTTATGCTTATAATCTCACGAGGGAGGAGAAGTGCTGTGAGTTCGAGGGCAGCCTAAGCTACATAGTGAGTTTAAAGTTAGTCTGGACTACATAATGAGACCCTGTCTCAAAAAAGCAAAAACAAAGACTAGTGTTAATAAAATACAAGGTGAGAACCTTCTCTGGTCTTGATTCTAAGAAACCAACTGAAGAAAGAGAAAAGGCAAGGGAAGGGGCCTGGCTATTTAATGATTTTAAGAAATCTTTTTTAGGTTCTATAAGGTCTGATAATAGGTATTGGGTCTGTTGAATAAATAAATCTTGTCTTTTAGAGACACACAGTAAAATGTTTATGGACGAAATTGTACAATTTAGCTTGTCAAAGTAATGCAAAGGGGCAGGAGTTTCCTGTTCGGGGAGATACAGAAGAAATAAGATCATGAGTTGATGATTATTCCAGCCAAGTAATGGGTAAATGGGGGAATCGTTGTACTATCTTAACTGATTTTTGTGTATGCTTGAGCTTTTCCATAATAAAATACCCTTTTAGGACTGGAGGTACAGCTCAGAATGCTTGTCTAGCATGCACGAGGCCCTGGGTTCAATCTTTAGCACCATCAAAACAGTTGTTTTAAAATACTGGGGAAAATATTTTTCTGTCTTAAAATGTACTTGCCTCAAGGGACCAAAATGGCAGAGATAGAGAAGGATGGAGCAGAAACTGCTGTTTTTAATTACTTTCATTGCTTTTCTGAATAACTTGATTGTACATAAATGCACATATGCATTATGGGGGAAATACATGTTTAAATTATTCAGTTATTTATCTCTTTAGCATTGCAATGCTGAGGATCAAACTCAGGGACTTGCAAGTGCTAGGCAAGCACTGAGCTACACACCTCCAGCTTAAATTTAATTTTTTTAAATAACAAAAACACAAAGAGAGGACTTCAGTTCGAGCCATGATGAAATAGTTTGATTCAAACTGGCCTTCCCACTGAAAATATATTTATAAAAGCTGGACAAAATATAAGTGTTTGAGGGCAATGAAGTGGCTGCAATCATTGGAAGAAGGGAAATACACAAGGAAAACCCTGCATTCAATCTAGCTTTATTATATCACATATGATATGTGAATTATCAGATAGTAATCCTAATATTTACAGTGGCAAACACTCCTAGTGCATATTTATCTACCCACATTATAGTTTATAAAGCACTTCTCACAAAAACTATACCTTTAACCCTATAACACTCTAAGATGCTATTATTCTCATTTTACAGATGAGAAAACCATGTAATCTTCCAAATTCACATAACTGGTATTCAAGTCACAGATCTGGTATTAAACCTAGGTCTCCCGACTTGAAAGCCTGAACTTCTGTTGAGTATAGCAGTATGCAGCTGCAGCCCCACCTACTCCACAGGCCAACACAAGAGGGTAACTTGAGCTCAGGAATTCCAGACCAGCCTGGGCAACAGAATAAGGCCTCAAACTAAATTAACACTAATTTTGGGGCTGGGGATTTAGCTCAGCAGCACAGCGCCTGCCTGGCAAGCACAAGGTCGTGAGTTCGATTCCCGGTACTGGAAAAAAAAAATTAACACTAATTTAAAGGGGAAAAAAATTCTTTACTCTTTTACTTACTTTAAGAGTTTAAAATTTTTCATTAGAAAAATCTATTAGACAAGAGTAGGAGTGTCTAGGAAGGGGGAAGGGTACAAGGGAGGGCAACGATGAGATAGATATGATCAAAGTATGTTGCATGCACATATGAAGATGCCACAATGAAACTCAATATTCTGTAAAATTAATGGCCACTTATTATATATATATA